ACCCCCCCCCCCCCCCCCACATCTCTCTCTCCCTCGCTCTTTCTCTCTCTCATACACACACACACATTCACACACACAGACACCAACAGAGACTCACACACACAAACACAGTAACACACACACACAAACATACACACACACACAGACACAAGCACACATACACACACACACACACCTGAACCTATTGGCCCGTAGAGCAGTCCTCCAGGGCAGTCCTGGACTCCGCAGGACGTCAGCTCGTCTGGTCACTCCACCGGTCACTCTGGGACGTCGCCGGCTACTGGGCTGGCTCACCTGGGGGGGAGTGGGGGGTAGATGGATGATGGTTTAGTTTTGTTTTTGTAAGAGTTTCACGGCACTTGTAACACAATAAGGTCATATAAGTGCTGAAGATTAGAGGTGTTACAAGAGAGTAACAAACACAAAAAGAAGGAAGGGAGATAAAGACAGTAGATTTTTTAATAGAAAATCACACTAGAGCACCCGCCAACCACCCACTTTGTAAGAGTTTTACGACACTTGCAACACAATTACAGAGCGGTCAAAAATTCGTGGCGTAACGTATCCTAAAATATATCTCTTTAACGGGAGAATCAATGTCACCTATACTTTGCACTTAATCACATTTTCCCCACAACAACTGAGGCTCAATTAAAACAATTTACTTCACAAATATATATATTATATATATATATAATATATAATATTCTATAAATCTCATTCACACGAAAAATGGGATTGTTCATAGCACTTCCCCCTTCTCACACACATTTTGCATACGCATATGGCCTACGTCACAGTTCACCAATGACACTTTATACTCAGTAAAAACGGGGTTAATTTTTTGTTGTAATACACACATAGATCTACATGTACATGGCACATTTCGTCATAATAATGTTGCAGCTTTTCTGGTTCATCGGTTGTACAATTTGTTAGAAATAAATTTGTAATTGTAATACAAGCCATTATAAATTTGTGATACAGCTTATATTAGTAATAAAATCTATAATAAATGTGCAATACCGACGTAGATCCAGATAGGGCCAGGTATAGAGATAGGCATGAAATGAACGACATAGCACAAAAAAGGGAAGTAACACAGCAGAAACTGTTAATGATGTTCCAATTACACGGTTATGTCCCTTTACACTATAATATTAATTCAGAAAATTTTATGTAAGATTAAAATTTATTCACTTTTGTCCGTCTGTGTAAAAGAAAATTCTTGTTCATTTATTAATAGAATCTAGACTATACCTATGCCCACAAAACTTTGTACGGCACCTCTGTCAGCCAGCGAACAAACAAAAACATAAAACAGGTGGTGGGGGTGCAGTCAAAAAGTCATCATTCAAAATGAAATGAAAACAATT